AGATGTCTAAAATACCTATGATTTTTTGTACAAAGTTTACAATAAGATTTTAAATGTGACCTGAAGATGCAATCTAAAATTCTACCGAAATGCATGTCAACCGAATGAAGATTCACGCTAATATCGCCCGAATATGTACCTAACATAGTATTTGCTGGTGTAGCCCACGAGTTGTGAAGAAAGTGAACGGAACGGGGCATATGACCGCACCGATCAAGTAAAGAAAACGGACTCATAGCGAAAGCGTGTTGCCAACTGCGCTGCAGTGCAATGAACACAAGAACAAGTAACCGTTCGTTAAATATTGAAATGACGAATGATTATTCAGTGCGAACCCCAAATGTACATCCCTAGAACTATTATATGATTATAATGTTGCGTTTATTTTTATAACTTTCGGATTAAATAGTCCAATAAACAGATCTGATGCAAAAGAGGAGACCAGCGACATTTCAGATTGACTACTCACTGTCAAGCGCATTGTCCAGAAGCTTTTGCGCCATGAAGTAAAGTTGTTCAACTTGTCAGAATTCATCGAAGACATCGTACCAAATGAGCACTCAAATATGCTAAGGCAGTAATGGTAAGGAAGGGATGAATTAGATGAAAAGCGATAAAGAAACAATGGTAATTGGCATATTCATTCGAGAGAAATAATAGAAACATTCAAATGGTGGTAGAGGAAATAGGGGTATTCGTCATCTCGCATTGTGTTAGTTTGGAAAACCATCACGATTCGAATTAGGTTATCAAAGATGGAAGTTTATGTATCACTGGAATATCTACCTTTTCATATGAAACTATTTCATATCTCTCATGTGAGAATGTATTTATCCCGGAAAATTGGATATAATTGGGTATGGGAACAAACATTCCGCCACCATCTCTCATCGTGGGTTAAAACTATATATCTGAACCGTGTCTATGTATTTTTCAGCACAATATATCGTTCAGATCCACTCAGAGGTGAAATTCCTCTTCACAAATGTGTAATATCATTTGGACCTGCGAGAGTTGCAACCAGTTCGCGTTAGAATGCAACGGATTACTTCATGGAAATGTTATCTCCGAAAACTATAATCGCATTTGCAAGCCGTTGAATAATACGTCGAAAAGACACAGATTAAAGAATCATGTCAATCATTGTGAGACTGAAGTTTGACTCGCAGCTTCTCTTCGTACTCGTCAGCACTATATGTCCGTCAGATTTGTTCGATCTGGCGATTGGGGAATCTAATGAGGTCCTGTGAGAGGCATACCGGTTCACAAAAGAAATGCCACTTTCCATGCCACCAAACCTTACAATCAATTATTATGGACTATCCCTAGAATAACGCCTCGGAGACTGGGTTTCAAAGAATCAATAAGTTATTCATATTATTTATTTAATGAGTTTTCCTATCACGAGGCACCTTTAGTGACTTAGGAGAATTCCAGGATGACGCTGTTTTCAGATCACCGACACATGTCAAATTTTGTGAATCAATTGGAACGGGCCAAATGAGGATGTGTAAATCAACTTGTTTTATTAAGGACGGAAATGTGGGAAAGGAAGGACGACGTGCGATCCCTGACGCGTTGTGTAGAATGCTGCTCCAACATTTACCTACAAATGATCATGGAAACCACTAATCATGGCTAAGGAATTCCAGCAGGATCCCAAACCTCACCAATATGAAACATGACAAGCAAACTTCTGATGCCTTATTAAAATCGAACCCCTGCCCTCCCAATCACTGGTATGTTCCAGCCCAAAGACATTGCTTGCTTGCTCCATTGATTACCATTTTCGGACGCCGCAACTTCTAAGGTAATTAGTCTCGTAAGTGCAGTATATGCTTTTATTACGGAGGTGGCCACGATAGTCCCCCGCTGGATAGCGAGATCCATCGCCGACCTACACGTAGGATTGCTGGTTTTTCCCAACCCACAATCATTGCCTTTAACATACTCCTACCAGCGTTAGCCGGATTAATATTTTCTTTTTTTTTAAAAAAACAAAACTTGTCATCGCGTAGGCCTGTCGCCGCGAAGTCTCCCGCGAGAGGCCCTCGCGCTGGGCGGCGGCTCCGCCTCAAGACCGAAGGGTGTGGCCCGCGTGTCTTTTGTGCGGCGGCGGGCGCGGGCGCGGGGGCCGGGAAGGGCGAAGGGGAGGCGCGGGGCGAGGCGTGGGTGGCCGGGCGGGCGCGTGCAAGAGGCGCTCGCCGTCTCAGTCGCCGCCGCGCCGCGCCCTCCGCCAGGGCTCCTCCGCCAGGGCCTCGGCCCAGCGCCGTCCGACGCCGCCCGCCACTCCGACCACGCCCCCCAGGTAGGCACCCCACCGGCACACGTTTGCATCGGGCTGGACCCTTTCCTCACTTCGTTGTCTGGGCATTGGGGTTCAGTGCGTCACGGAGCACGGAGAGCGGTGCGGGAAGGAGGGTGTCACTACGACTGCAAACCAGTCAATTACTTAGGAAGCGTACCACAGAATATGTAACTGCGTTTGCGACAACTCCCCGCATGTAGATAAGATAAATCGCCTTCATCTCTCAAGAAGCATCTGAATTAAAAATGTGACGTATTTAGAGCCGTTTGGGTTATATTAAAATCAGGTTTGTTTTCTCTAGAGGCCAAAGACGTTAATTTGCGTTCCTGCAATCTGCTATTGAAGGCTAGTTAGGAGAGTTGGTGAATATTTACGTCAAGAAATCGTCGGCATATGGTATTTTATTAGGGGAATTTTTAAAAAAAGGTGTTTATTTTGATTGAAAATCAGCGCGATCTCATGAAGGGTAATCTATTCAATGTAACAACAAAAACACTGAATTATCGCGACAAATGAACACGAAAACAAGACAAACAACGTATTTGTATCACACTGTAAATGAAGATTTGATGATTAGAACAGTGTGTGTGAATGTGTTTTTTTAGTAACAATTTAAGGGGCTTATGCACATATTTCATACATAGACTTTGGAAGTACGCAACGCGCTCGACAACACTCGCAGCACATTGTAAAACCTCCGCAGCCGATTTTCGCCTGGGTACGGCGCTAGGAAAATCAGCATTGAGCTACCTGAATATTCCTGCAGTAACTTTGATTAACTTTAGTACGTAATTTGTAGTAAATTCAATTAACTTTTGTTTATTTCATTTAAATTTAATGAAACCTAATGCAGGATCGCGAATTTGAATGTGAGTTCGCTTTCGCTTTCTTTAATATGATTCAGTGGTTTCTGCGAATAATGCAATCTTTATTAATGATCGGGAAGCAACGATGAGCAATTAATCCAGTGATTATAGCATTATTCGGGGTCTGCGTGTCCAGGAAGACTGTGGCTCGGACTGTTTGTGTACAAGACCACTGTTCTAGTCTGTCAACTAAAGACAGCCAAAATAAGGGGTCCAACTGTCAATTCTCTTCAGGTTTTTCGTTCTACACATGATTATTTGTTTCAATTTTCAGTAGATAGCATACATAGCGTAATTTTAAGTTCCGTCACGTGTATGGGCTCGAATGGGCTGCAAGGATCCCGGAAAAATACGTCACGTCTGTCAAAACCACGCCATCGCCGTGCGAAACTGCGGGCGTTGGCAGGCCGCAGATATCCTCGCCATTTCGAGGCCCCGGCTCGAGGGCTGGGCCAGACGCCGCCGGGGAGGACGCGAGGACAAGAGCCAAGGCCACGTGAAGCACGCAAGGGCACGTGAGTCCCCCCGGGGCGCATCGACACGCCTGAGTTACACGCGCGCGGCCACGCACGGGCGGTGGGAGGGGCTCGCAAACCAACCGACAGGGGTTTGCACTCGCACGGGGGGCTGTTTAGCACGGCAGCGCGCGGCTCGAGAAATGAGGCAATCGCGACGCGAGTGCGTGCACACGTTCGGGCCTGACCTGCAGTACCTGCACTATTTTAACCTAATAAATAGTAAGCGGGATAAATGAGGCTCTCATCAAGTAGTGGGCGTTGACGTGCAATTACCCTTCTCCCATTTCTCCCAAACATTGTCCCTATACTTCGATTAAAACATTATGACAGTTGACACTTGATCGGCTGTGATGCTGTCCTCCAACTGGGAGTTTTAACGTCACCTCATTGATGTCACTATGGGGACGTTATGTTTTAATCGAAGTGAATTACGTCTGAATGTTTTTAAGCGGTAAGTGAATATGAAGTGTTTCTGGTCGCGTCAACTATGTTCGTTAGTTCCATAAGTGTAGTGCATGTTGTAAATCGCGAGGTGGCGGTATTCCACCCCGCTTTAACGTTGTATTGACCTACACATCCACTTTCTAATTTTTTTCACTCCAGGTATCTCCCCCAATGGGGCTCCGCCCAGCCGGAACAAGATCTAATCTGCTGAACGGTCTCCCGATATATGTTGAATACGTCTTATGGAAACTTCAATTTAAAACCAGAAGACCAATTGCTCCGTTAATTAGAAGTTATTGAAACGATAATCCCGGGAATCCATCCCTCAAACATTTGTATAAAGTACTGTTACAGAGGGAAGTTCACCAACAGGTATCCCGTCTCTGTGGATACCCATTACAAGGGTCTCGGGACATGTAATGGCTTCGCTTTTTCGACTTCTGTCGTCGCTCTCCTCGCATGCAGAATTAGCCTGGTATTCGGTTACGCCGGAACGCAACCCCCTTTGGAGAACATCTATCGTTATCTTGGATAGAGTTGACTCGCAAGCTCCATGCAACCAACTATCCCGGCTAGTACCGAAGTCATAGGCTACTCCCAAGCATGGGGAGGAATTCCCACTCAATTACCCACGAACAGCGAACACAGCCGCGACGAAGCCAAGAACCCAGCAGTGTTGATGAGTCCCGCGGAGAAGGGCTCGGAGCCCCCATCTTGTCCCCTTAATCCCTAACAAAGTATCACCTCTAAACGCAGATATGTGAGATATGTGATTGTGAGATGTATGTGTAGATATGTATGTGGAGATGTGTGATGTATATGGATGTGTAAGATGTATGTGGAGATACGTGATTGTGTCGGCAGCTGGTGGAGCCGGCGTCGCCGCAGCCCAGCGTGGACCGCCTGTCGGTGACGTTCGCGCCCGAGGAGCGCTCTGTGTGCTCGGAGCCCTTCAGCCCTCCGCCGCTGGGCGCCGCCCTCGCGCCCGCCCACGCGCACGCGCACGCCCTCATGGCCGCCGACAAGGTGCGCTTCTCGCGCGCGCACCCGCACGCGCCCCCAGGTGAGTGCACGTGGACCCACGCGGGGGGCAGGTGGCGTAATGCGGGGAGGCAATACAAGTGAGCAGTACGTTATGGCGTGATTATACGACTACTGTGGAAATGTGTGACAAATGCTAGTATGTGAGTTTATGTTCGTATAGACAACCGCTATGAGTGATGATGGTGTGTATTTCCATGGATCTATTTATAAATAATAATTAAAAGGCGGAACCCAGATGAGGGCTTAATAAATGGCCCAAGCTTTGTTTTTATTTTAATGTGTTTGATTTGTTGGACCTAGTCTAAACTCAGATACCGTCATATTAATTAGGAGAAAAGCGATGAAGAGAAATTAATCTTAGAAAAGTAAGTTTTTCCTAATTGTCAATCACGTAATGTATGTGAGTCGACCTGGCGTTTTGAACACCGTTAAAGGTCTGAAGGTTTGAGACTCGTGTTACAGATAAGTGTTTTCCTCACAGACGAGTAGTTTTCATCAAAGACGGGTTGGCTTCTCCTATCATACAACTATTCTCATTAGTTCCGAGCTTCCCGGCATATCATGAATAGGTTCAGTGTTCTTCATCCTTAACAGTCGGAAATATGTTTTTCGGCATGGTGCAGGAAATGCACAATGCTGTGTGAGACACGTTCGTTAGATATCGATCGAGTTACGCATGGGCTCAATGAAATGTGAGCTAGCTCGTTTGGCATTGCTGTGATTCCGAGAAGACGATTTTCCAGATGCGAGGGTTGTGTTGGACAATTCATGGTCAAGGTCGGCGGATCATAGAAGAGCGGTATTTCTGCTTTGTTTTACAGTGAGATAATTCCTGGACTGAATGTCAGTATACAGAATCATTATTTTCACTCGCAATCCATGCACAGTAAGTCTCAAACTGCAGCACCATTCCTGTTTCTGAGACTATCATTCAACCTACGTGACTGTCAGATACAAGTCAAGTTGCGATTCTGCTCATTGTGGTCTAGAAATCTAACTGTGATTGAAAATTTGGGGTACGATATGGCCGATTTACTGATTTTATAAATGCAACGCAACAATAATTATTATTTAATGAAAGCCGGTTCAGAGAAAGATCACAAAGACATCTCGTGAAACATCACCGCCAAGCTCTTCATTTTATTAGTATTATAATCAATATTATATATTATTATCAGGTACATTACTTAACAGCGCGTTGGAAATTAAAATAACAATATCTCAATCACATGAATGCCAACTAGTGGCCTGAACCAGCAAAAACGCTAATGAACAAAATCACACAAAATGACTTTTCAAAAGGTATCATGTACACAGATTTAAGAACGATAAATAATATACTCTCACATAACACCGAAATAAATTAAATGTTTTAACAAAAACACTTTTCAAATACTACAATATCGTATATTTTTAGAGTACAACAGTACTTGACATACCAAAAATATTAAATGTTTCTGACACATAACGCAACGTGTAAATAACAAATATTTAATGACGACCGAGGTGTTTCTTGGTCCCTTTCTGTCGCATGGCCTGGGCTGTGTTGTAGGCAGAAACGCACCAAGTATCAGATTTAAGTCGGTACGCTCAGTATGAGAATAAGGGGAATAACCCAATCATGTGCTGGCATTGATAGGCACTGAAAGTCGAATGTTTCATTATTTTGTGTTTTTTCGAGTTCCTGGGTATCCGACGAAACCGCACATTCCTCTCACATGGACGGAGGCTGCACAGCTTTCTCTCAATTTCTGGGCCCATTGTAAATTAATATTTTTTAAATACAGTGAGACTATTTTATTAATGTGCCGTGATCGTTATAAATTCTGCTTGGCCCTCAATCGGCAGGAAACAGTGCGCTGAACTCCTCTGGGAACGCTGTCCAAAGTGTCGCCCTGCAAGAAGCATGCATACCAGTCTCGTTGAATAGTCCGTTTGTAATGGCTCGCTCGAAGTTCACTCTGAACAACAGAAAGTGTTTGTGTGAGACATACGTAAAATGTGTCAAACCGTTGTGCGCATCGTATCCTTATTGGTATGCATGTTTCTTACAAATGTTTACAAATGACGAGCGTAAGTACATCTCAGAATAATTTTCAAGAGGACTTCTCAACCGCAAACACTACTTCGGGTTTCTTAAGGGTTTGCATGCCGATTATGGAAACAGAATTATCATACGTGATTTGTGGGCTGCACGCTCTCCTGATCTGCCTCCGTACAATTTCTTTCTTTGGATATTCCTGAAAGATCGCGACAAATCCCCACACGGAAGAATTACGGCATAACATACAGGAACAGATCTCTCCAGTCAAGAATGCATCAGAACATGTTTCAATGCATTGGTGAGTTGGTCTAGCATCTACTTTAACGTGAGTACAATTTAAACTTACCGGTAGCGAAACGTCACCTTCCGTCTTCAGCGATTCTGCCGAGCGCCTTGTCTCGATTTCTCCGGGATCCATGGCCTCGTTCTCACAGGCCAAATCCCCGCGCGACCGGCACATTTATAAAATGGTCTCACTGTATTAATCGATAACAAGTTAATGATAATTGGAAATAATTGAAACATTATGCTTCCTGAGAAAGCTTTAGTGCGGAAGGACTGTTGCGCAGAGGGCGAGGGCGAGGAGGCGGACGAGGAGGACTACTCGGCGAGCGTGAGCGCCATCCTGCAGCGCCGCGCGTCCGCGCGCCGCCAGAGCCGCCGCCGCCACCGCCGCCCGTCGTCGCCCTTCTCGCCCGACGCCGACAGCGCGCTCTCGGCCGGCCGGCGCACCTCCGTCTTCACCACCAGCTCCGGCGAGTGAGTCACACCCGGCGCCCGGCCACGGCGGGTGACGCGTCCCCCGCCCCGGTATTCATTGGCGGGTACACCTCCGTTATATGAATCTAGTGGATCTGTTCAGTCGTCCATGCCCAGCAAACCACGCATTTGTACGCGCTAACTATTTATACGCTCATGCAACTTTGGTAAAATTAAGAATATGGCTAAAAAAAGCATAGAATTAACGTGGATTAAATATGGGATTTCTGTACGTGTTACTGTTTCGTGCCTGTTCCTCGCGTTTTGTAGCCAAAATTGGTACACAGTTCTGGCTCTGACTACTATAGGAAATTGACTATACAGTAGACACTACTACAGTTGTGAAAGTGACTACTATAGGAAAATATTTTATACATTTTTTCTGATAAGATAATATTACGAAATGTATTGTACGGCCCATAATTGTCAACACAAACGTATTCTGTTGTAAGCCTTGGATAAGCCTCAGTTTGCAAACTTCCAGAAAGTCAGATATTGGCTCTGTATTAGCATAATAACGATGATTACTATTTAATTTGCATCATTGAATTATTAGGCTGCATATCCATTATTTCGTTAGAAATTTTCATAAGTGAAAATCATTTTTCAGAATTCGAAAGCAATTGTCAGTCTTAATATGTGGCAAAAAAGAGTGTAAAAATTTAGTTCTCCGAACGATTCAAGCAAGTTCTCTGACGAACTTCGCTCAGCCAACTTTCGACCAGCGCCCGACAGACTGCGTGTGCTGAGCACTGCTTTGTTCGGCAGCACGGCCATCTCGCTGGAGGAAGGCGTGACGCAGGAGCAGATCTACGAGAACCTGCGCCTGCACAAGGAGGTGCTGAGCAGCGTGAAGCAGCAGCCGTGGCCCATGCGGCGCAAGCTGCGCCTGGTGCAGCAGGCCAAGGCCTACGTCAAGAAGCACGAGGGGGAGCTCAAGGAGCGCCTGGCGCAGAGCCGCACCACGCGCGACCTGCTCTCCCGCTTCAACATCCTGCTCGTCAAGGTGAGCGCGGGCGCTCGGGACGGGCAGCGGTCGGGCTGGGGTCGGGCTGGGGTCGGGCTTAAGTCGGTCTGGGGTCGGGCTGGGGTCGGTCTGGGGCCGGGCTGGGGCCGGGCTGGGGTCGCGGTGGGGTCGGGCTGGGGACGGGCTGGGATCGGGCTGGGATCGTGCTGGAGTCAAGCTGGAGTCAAACTGGTGTCAGGCTGTAGTAAAGGCTGTAGTCAGGCTAAAGTCGGTCTGAAGACGGGCTCGGGACCAGCTTGAGTTGGGCTCGGAAAGTTCTCAGATCGGGCTCGGGTCGGGACGGACTCGGGTTGGGCTCGACTCGGACTGAGATCGGTCCCGGGTTGGGTTCGAGTAAGACACGAATCGGACAGGTCGAATGTTTAACCGAATACGAATTCTTAATGGGTTTTCTGAATAATTTCGTTTAGTATATTATCGTTTTGTACAACAAACAATACAAATGAAGAACATCCTACCATAATTGTTTTTTTAACTTCTGCAAATCTAATATTCGCACCCATAATTTTAAAGTACACATACGTTAGCCCTCAATGATAAGCCCATCAACTCCTCCTACAGATTGTTGCCGTTTATCTATTTTTATTGATAACTTTAACTCCAGTTCCATTTTTATTAAGTTAATTACGTTTTCGTTTCCGTTATTTATTATTATCGTTATCATCAGATGTGTTACTTTCTTATGATCTACAACAGAATCTCTTGAGAACCAAGACAGCGAAAAGTCTACTAGCCAAAAATTGATTTCCGCAGCGGTGGCAGTACATGAAACGCGAGCTGGCCAACCTGGTGAACGTGCTGATCCCGTGGGAGCTGCGCATCAAGGAGATCGAGTCGCACTTCGGCTCCGTCGTCGCCTCCTACTTCACCTTCCTGCGCTGGCTCTTCTGGGTGAACCTCGTCATCGCAGTGCTGCTGGCGGCCTTCGTTGCCATCCCGGAGGTACTCGCCCCCCTCGCGCAACGCTCCACACATCGCTGTAACCGCCCACGGTATTAGATGCCAGCTGGAGGCAAGAGGTCGTTATGCATTGTACCGTATTCAGGTCAGCTGCTGTCGAACATTATTGTCAGCGTAATGTAACTACACATTGAATCCACAATCGTGATTGTCGAACAAATTAATAACTCACTATTTCACGATATTCTCTCATATCACTGATGTGGCAGCGACAAGAGTCCTATCCGGGATTCCAATTCTCGGGTCTTTCAAATAAAATTAGTGATAGACAAAGCCGTAGTGCGTAAACTATCCTGGAGATTCTACCATTTCCTTGATTTTTATTTTGCACCATTCATCGTAATTCATTTCACATTACCATTTTAGTACGTTCATCAATTCATTCGCCATCCCAAATTCACCAATCAGCTACAGAGGCAAATTCTCCAGAAGAATTTTGGGTGCAATATTTATTTACGTTGTTTTTTGTTAACTTCCCCCATTTCTGGGAATTGTTTTGTCTTGCCTTATGTATCACTATATCAGGGGGCTGTATTTAGATGTGTCTAGCTCATGCGCTCTGAAACTTCTTCGGTTCCGTTCGCAACACAGTAACATTATTGGTATCTGATCACTAGCGCTACGTACCTCCATGGCACCGTGGTTTACGTGCTTATGTTGAAAGCCATGAGACGGGTGGGCGGGGCGGGAGCGCTGGCGAGGGTGTGACGGGATGGGCGCGCAGATGCTGACAGCGGACGCCAGCTCGGCGGGCGGGCGCAAGCGGATGCTGCCTTCCGAGGTGCCCAAGGCCACAAGACTCGTCACCCTGTGGAACTTCGACGGCGTGCTCAAGTACTCGCCCATCTTCTACGGCTACTACACGCACCACGACGGCGCCGCCAAGGGCTACCGCTTGCCCTTCGCATACTTCATGACGGGCCTCGCTGTATACGTCTACAGCTTCGTCGCCACGCTGCGCAGGTCAGTTCACGCCCCCGCATTCTCCACTTCGGCTACAAAATCATTACTGGCAAGTAACTGCACCCTATATATTTATTGACCAGCCGGGTTGTAAGAGACATCTTTAACTGAACATATACATTGCAAACATGACTTATATTCAAATATCGATAGATTTTAACCAATTTATAATAAAATATGAATATAAATTCATGCACTTTAATCAATTGACATTAAAAATCCTTGATTTTTTCCCACATTCTAGTATTTGTAATTAAAATTTAAATTTGTAAATAAAATGGGTAGAAAGCGTGACAGCTTTCACAATCTTCCGGAATTCACTCCTCTCCCACGGACGTCGGTTCCCATCAGTCATAACTCTCCTATATTGTCTGCACTCTACCTACTGTACCACTGCACCACTTGGCTGCTCGGCATGCGAGCGGAGGAAACGGAGGCGTGGCCTGGCGCGGCGTGGCTTTGCAGGATGGCGGAGAACTCGCGCATGTCGAAGCTGTCGGAGAAGGACGACGAGTGCGTGTTCACGTGGAAGCTGTTCACGGGCTGGGACTACATGATCGGCAACCAGGAGACGGCGCACAACCGTGTGGCCTCCATCATCCTGGGCTTCAAGGAGGCGCTCCTGGAGGAGGCCGAGCGGCGGCGCGAGAAGCGCAAGTGCGTCATCTCCCTTTCCCTCTCATCTAGTTCTCTCTAACAGCACACTCTAGTTCACTCGCACACTCTAGTGAACTAACATACTCTAGTTCATTGGAAGCATTGATTTCTTGAAAGCGTGTCAAAATTAATTATAAATTTACTCGGCTTACTGGATAGCTAGAGTTATCAGATCACTTAAATTATTGGGTAATACGAATGATTGGATAACTGAAATGTTTAATGTATCTAATTATTAGGTACCTCGAATGATTCGATCAAATTATTGGGTAATTTGGACAATTGAATAGCTCAAATGATTGACATATCGAATTATTGGGTAACTTGGGTGATTGGATAGCTCAAATGATTTGTTAGCTCGAATGATTGGGTAATTTAAATTACTGAATAACACAAATTGTTTTATAAGTCGCAGTCATTTGCCATTTCAAATTATTTAATAGCTTGAATAATTCGATGACTGAATTATTTAGTAACGCAAATAATTAGTTAAGTATAATTATTGTATAATCTAAAAGAAATATTGTTTACATTAATATTTATTACAACTTTTTAAAGCAAAGTTAAAATGCATGCTTGATTCGAATTTTGAAACCTCGTATTTATAACTCATTTTTTTAAACATACGAAAATGATAAGATTACAATTTTCATTTTTAATGCGCTTTGTTGGACACGTAACGACATCTCGTGAAATTTCTAAGCATACATATGTGCATCGGCGTACCAAGAAAATGCACCATTTATTGCTCTCAATAACCAAAGAGAATCTGTTAAACCGAAGCAAAATGGATGAAAACATCGTTAAGGTATTAATAAATTAAGTAAGACCGATTCATTCATTACACCATCCAAACTTTAAAAAAATTACACAAAAACAAAAGTCTTCTGCCCAAGTAGTTTTCTGGATAGTTCTTTACCGTCATAATATGCTGCGAGTGACTAGTAAACGGCTCACGCCATCACTGAGAAAGAAATAAAGGAAGAAAGAAATTTCCATTCATATGGTACCGTATATTTTTTTAAATGTTAAAACTTTGGAATACCCTAGCTAGTATCCAGTTGGTGGACAGTATTATCATACAAATAAAAGAAAATATAAATGTAATTACATGAGACCAGTCGTTCGAACTATTTTTATCGGTCAACAGCATTGCTCTCGTGATGCCTGTCCATCATTTTGAGTGACTCCCCTCTGCTTGTCCCGGCTGTCGCTGCGCAGCTGGAAGGTGATCGGGCTGCGCGTGCTGGTGAACCTGTCGGTGCTGGTGCTGCTGGCGTCGTCCGCCTACGCCGTCGTCGAGGTGGTGAACCGCTCCAAGGAGCCGGGGGCCAACGAGTCGTGGTGGCGCCAGAACGAGATCACCGTGGTGCTGTCGCTCATCTCCTTCGTGTTCCCCATCCTCTTCGAGTTGCTGGGGCTGCTCGAGAGCTATCACCCACGCAAGCAGCTGCGCGTGCAGCTCGCCAGGTGATTTTCTACACCCTCCCCGATCCCTTCACATCCACGCACGGACAGAGTTGGCCGCAGACGGATGTGAAAACTACTCACAACTCCGAAATGTATTCAGGATGTCGCAGAATAAATGTTACTAGCTTCTAGAACATGTATAGGGGTCATGATACTTTTTTGCCGAAGATCGTATAGTGGGGAATTGAATATAACAAAGTTATATGCATTTAAAATTGAAACATTTGCGCCTTATTATAGACAACTCTATGAATAAATGTGCAACAGGTTCAGATGCCAACATCTATGCATATGAGCATGCCAAAAAATCAAGAGCAAATGTCACATTAATAAATGCATTTATTTCCATTATATACACTTTCCCACTTAATGATAATTGGCAAAAAATATAATGACCCGTCTACATGATGGCATCCAACTTCAATCCTCTACATGACGCCTAAACTGGGAAAGAACGGTATCAGCCAAAACACAACAGAGGTAGATGAACAAAAATGCCCTTACAAAGTCAATATATCACTTTTCAGCAGTAAATAAAGCACTTTACACACATTACCCCGTTATGAACGAAAGAACCATCGCATCTTTAAGGAACGCAGATTTCCATACACTTCTCATTGGATATACTGATGTGGGAGAAAGTCTTCGAATCGTCTCTCTTAATTATGCTGAGAAATTAATAGCTGCGTAATATTCATTCCAAAATACCATAGAACGTAAACAGTGAGGCCAAGAGGATGTTCTAAAAACGTTTCAATATGCACATTTGTGAATATTCGTGTTGTACACTGTCTGGATAATGGTATGGTTACGGTTTAAAACAAGAAGTAAAAATACATGCATGTTAATCTTAATTTTTCTTTTGATATATTTCCTGCCAAAAATCAGAAAGGAGCCATTCAATCACTTGCATTCAGGCCTTTTTATTTTCTCTCCAGCGAGAGTGTAAAAAGATCACTAACGCACAAATACATTGGTCAAGAGTTTTGATTAATCGTTTTATTTTCGAATATATTTATACCCAATCATCTCTTACATTTGCAGGATCATGGTGTTGAATTTGCTCAACCTTTACACCCTGATTTTCGCGTTGTTCGGGAAAATTGGCGCCATGGTAAGTGCATACCAAGTTCAAATATAATTCAAGATACTAACATTTTTAAATAGTTTAAAGACAAGTTTTGAACGTGCATACAAATCCAATCATGCAAAACATCCGCGATCTTTTAAACAGTTTAACATAGCAAATATTTTATAATAAAAATTATATACATTAGAAAAGAAATTTAATGACTGAAAGACGTTCTACTATAATTTTCTACCTATAATCGCTCGAATGCTTGGGGATAGATCTTGGATAGCTAACTCATTTTCCATGCAATGGTGCCCAAGTTCAATTTTTGCTGTCGGGGAGAGACAAATTTGTAACTTTCGCAAAAATGCTGCAGTTTCTGTGAGTAGGGTTGATAGAATGGGTGATGCCGAGAAATTGCATTCGTGATGTGGAAGATGATGCTCGTAGGCCCATTAGAGCTTCGGCCCTGATTGGTTGAGATTGGCAAATTCCCACAGTCTCCAGATTGCCTAGTTCAATAAGCCTTATTAGTGCCTGACTGGCGATGCTACTGATCTCTATATGTTATTGAATATGCTATAACACTGGGGAAACATATCGAAACTGTTCTACTGTATGAGGCCACCAAATAGTAGGTTTGGTGACAAATTGTATTGGGGATTTGAATAAGTGATTTTGCTATTTAAGAAATTTATTCAATTTTCTCAGTACTAAATATATATTTTGTTTATTATCCGCATGTTTAGATATAGATTCAATAAATAAATATTTTAAATATTAATATGACATAAAATAACATCCCAAACTGTATATTGTGTAGATTACTGTAAAAGATTTCCCCGCCGGGACTAGATAACGCTGTTTTAAAGGTCTAGACTATCATTTCCAAGTTATGCACTATGGTAGCGTATGTTGCTGTGTAAAGTCTGTGGCAGGTTGCACCCACGCCTTCTTTTCCCTCAGTTATAATCTTCAAACATTTATTTCTTCTTTCTAAATCTATTTGGTGTCGGACTGGGGAATTATTGTGCATCCTGAGGCAGGCTACCTACATCCTTTCGCGTCGATACTGTCTTATAAACGGTACAAAACCGACGCATCCCCTTAGCGCCTTGAACACAGAGAGGACGGGTGGGAGGTGCAGCGCTTGGGCGGAGGCCTTCAGATGGGGATGTGCTGCGCAGACTCACGAGCTGGAGCTGCTGCGCGGCAACCTGAGCACGACGGCGGCGCCCTCCACCACCCTGGCGCCCGACCCCTCGCGCGCCGCCGCCCCCGCCTCCTCCGTCGGCCCCGCCTCCAGCGCCTCCACGCCGGGCGAGCTCTGCGAGAGGGAGGTGAGACAGCAACGCAGCCCTTTACACCGCCGCGCCCATCGTTTTTATATTTAAAGCTCTGTGGGTGATCCTTTAGATAGCATGTTGAGCTATCAACTACTCCAAATTTCCGGTTTTTTGCTTTAAATGAATGTGTCCCAGATGTGTTATAGCTTGATATTTTTAGAGTAAACACTAAATTTTAATAAAATTGTAAAATTAATAGAATAAACGCAAATCTTCCATCATTTAATAAAATTGTTCTATGAGTTGCAGTTGATCGTAATGTCGTCACATGGACCATGCAGATCTGAGGAAGGAGGTTTGCATTATATTTACAAAGGCTTGACTCGCCAAACATGCACATTACAACATCAAATAGATAATTCATCCAACATAAAATAGATAAATCATTTGCGATTGAGTTTACTGCTTTTAAATGTCAGTTTTTTGAAGGTTTGCTACAGACTTTTCATCTACAAGACGACTGAATGATCCGCTGTGTGATCCGCTTACCGATTCAATTGCGCCAAGTGTATTTTGCTGAAAACAATGCATCTGAGTTATTCTTTCAAGAACAGCTAAAATGCTCCGAATGCAATGCTTGGTTTAACTTAAATATATTGAAATGAAAAGTATTTACATTGATCATGAAATACCGGTTCATGTTTAGGACTAAAGCAATAAAAGTTGGAAGACAAAGAAAATATTTACAACTCGTGAGTTTAATTTCCAGCTGTCGGGGGATTTCACAGTGCTGAATTGTGCATGTTGGGAACAACTAAACTACCCAAAACCAAAGTTAATATACTCAAAACTCTGCAAAATGCTTTCAATTATTGTTTTTTTTCAACACCTCTGTGTTGCCTAACGAAATATTAAATGATAAAAGGATAAATGACGATGGCCGACGGTTAGAGACTAGGGAGGTGTTAGTGACTCCACTGCACATTACCGGTCTCGTAGATAAGTCCTAAACCTACGAATCGACTCGTAGCGTAACCACAAGTGCGCCTTCGCTTTATCCATTTCTGGGTTTCGACGTTCTAATACCAGTCTCTCCTTGAAATCTGTAGTGGAAAAAGCACATTTCTAACAGGTATAATCAGTTCTCCTTTCCTTTCCCCTACCATTCATTTACCACCTAGTACGTGAGAAAACAGGAATTGCGACCACTGTCATCAAGACAGTCTATTCATTCTCGCATTATCTCATCATCAACTCTTGGACTATTCCAGATGGAGGCAACTCTGATATCATCAGATAGCAGGGAATTTTAACTAAAAATACGTAAATTTCGTAATGAATGAAATTAGGAGTGAACCCTTGAATGACAACGCGTGGTCAGAAAGAAAGGCCAGAGTGGTTCATCTTGGTTTCAATTCTGAGAAGGCAGGGACCTAACCCTGACCTACAAGAGCTCTCTGATCATTAAATAATTGGTTCAAAGCGACAGGAAAGTGATCCTGGTCAAATCTCTTTCATCTGTAATCGATATCTAGAAATTGTCGCTTTGTTTTACGACTAATTTGCCTAATCATATGAAGTGCTAATGAGAGATCAAAATTACAGGGCAGAATCATTTTAAGAGTGCCGGCTTCCCCTCTACCTTTCCAACTTTTGTTTTAATTTGAGACAATTAACTAAAACGCGAATCTTGTCGCTCCCTTTGCAGGTGGTGGAATGCCCGCCGGCCGCCACCGCCGCCGCCGCCACCGCCGCCGCCACGGCCGTGGTCGCCGCCGCCCTGCGCGCTGCCAACGTGTCCGCCCCCGCCGCCCGCGCGCTGCTCACCGCCCTTCGCCCCGCCTCCTCCGCCACCTCCACCACCCCCGCTGCCACCGAGGCGGTGTGGTTCGACGTGGAGGCCAGCATCCGGAACGCCACCTTCGACAACATCACGTTCTTCGTGAACGACACCGACTTCTCGTACTTCGATGACGTGAACGCCACCGTCGTCGCCGCCAACTCCACCACATGGACGGACGATACGAGCGCAGTGTTCAACTCGACCGCTAGCTCGGAGGAAACGTTCTACAGCATCCCATCCTCCACTGCCAGCGCTCAGTACTGGGACAAAGCGTTGATAGATTCCTTGACTTCTTTGTTAACAACTACTCTCCACTCAACTCCCGAGCACAATGAGAACCACGAAAGCAGATTTACTAGTACAGAACCCTCAACAACGGAAGAATTCATGGTGACGGAAATTACGAAGATTCTCTCGTCAAGGTCGCAAAGTGAAAATGTGTGTTATAAAATAGTGTGTCAGAGTCCAAGTACGTACACCGAAACAACGACATTCGGGCAAACCACGAGCCATGATGTTCACGTCACAGCAGGGAGGTCTATATGTGAGTAATTTCATTTTATTTTATATATATATATATATATATATATATATATATATATATATATATATATACATATATGTGTTTTTCCTTCATCACCAATATTTAAACTATTTCGAGCGTTCAGATTCACGTTCTGGAATTGTAAATTGTCGCTCTTCGTTATAATGTCCTACTTGCTTTCTTCCATTAATAACATTTCTCCATTCAACCGACGAAGTTATACCATAATTGAGGTCATTTATCCGGCATATTTTTTTTTATTTTTTTTTAAATTCTACATTCTTAAGTTCAATTATTGTCCTGAATCGTTTCGTTTACCGTCTGGGAATTGTATCCTGTCAATGTCCATGCTCCTATTTGAGAAATATCTTCCAATTATCGATTAGATTAATTTAATTTCTCGTTAATGCTTATTTTTGAAATAGATGCAGGAGTGTGAGGATACCCCTTAATTTGTAAAATTCTACGACTTGTTTTTGCTTCACGTGCCTGCAAGAAATCGTAATTATTCTCTCTCAGTTTGTGATGGCAATCTGATATGTCATCGGCAACCTGATATGTGGCATTATTTTCGTGTGGAACTTCATTATCTTATTATCTAATTTATACTTTCGGTCTTGCCGCTACACCAACTCTCTTTGAACTGTTATTCTATCGAGTTAACTTTGCCGACGGGACCCAATTGTCCTCCCCTTCCATGAGTCGTGTAATCTTGTGATTGGTTTCGGCAGAGAACCCAATCGGTGGTCATACGAAAAACAGGTTGGCACTTAATGGGTTAGCGAGAAATTGCAATATCTGCTGCGATAGCTTCTGTTGATGCGCCGCAGCATATGATACTTCGTAATCCGGAAGGTACTAGTTTTGAGTACCGACAGACCGCTTGTTTTCGAGCCTGCTATCTGCTAGAGAATTCTAGAGGCTGGTTGCTCTGACCGGTCGTTTACATTAAATTCAACGATGCATTTTTTTTACCTGGTGAAGTTCAAGGCTCCCAAGCCTGCTCTTCCGCCTGACCATTTTATTGTGCTCTTTCCGCCATCTGCCAGCGAAAGAAGGTCTCACTGGACGACGAAGCAGGCGATTAGAATTTAACTCATACACTTCTTTCAGGCTTGAGGCTGAAGCCAAGCCACAAATCTAAAACATGGAACGGTCGGCTTTACTTCCCCAAGTTTACTTGAGAAACAGAATACCTGCCCCACTCCTTTACTAACGTTAGTTGAGTTAAAAATAAATTATTTCAAAGAGCGTATTATGACAAAATTTAATAACCAGAAATATTCGCTTCTGTGTAATAAAAACTATTCCGAGTCCTAAACGAGCTACAGATTTAATATAAAAGTCCTGTCGTTGAAATAACCAACCTCCCCACTCTTGTGAAATGAGTGCTCAAAAAATCGTGCGCGGATAACAGAGCTATGAGGGTTAGTCGAAAAATAATGCTTCCTATTCTTTTCTTCTTAAATAAAATTAGTTGAGTGAAAATTTTGTATTTGGCCCTACTTTTCAAACCTTCTAAAATCTAGCACAATATTAACTTCCTTCTTCAACATGTGGCAGCATAGCATTAGTTTGAAAATTGGACGAATCCATGTTCGTAAGAGACAAAGTTGGGTGATTGAATTCACAACGCGGTCTCTTACGACATCGATGTCGGCCATTTTGCAAACAGCTACTCTGCAACTGCTGCCAAATGTTGAAGCAGAACGTTACTGCTGCAATGGTTTGTAGAAGGCTTGAGGAGTAGTGCAAAATTCAAATTGTTCACTAAAATAATTTTATATAAGTAGAAAAATACGAGTCATTACTTTCTGACTGACCTACGTACATCACTGCTTTCGAATCTGGCGAAAAATAAGTTAGAGGACTCTTCGCCAGATCATTCGCCTTGGTATTGGAAGAAATAAAAACTAATAGTTCCCAAAAAACTCTCATATTACATATGAGCAACGGCACAATCAATGATCAAGGAATTTACATTTCTACTTGAGTGACAGTCGTACTCAAATATTTCGTTCAAGGTGATCAAGCAAGTTTTATTAAAGTTTTAATTAATTACATAAAGAAGACCATACACGTGAGTGTTTAATACATTAATTGCAAATTAAATAAAATATTGTGAAATAAACGAACAAGTACAAAAAGTAGTTTGATTACGTTAAATTAATATCCTGTATTAAATGTATTCCATGGTGTTATATAAACAAGAATTCTAGAGTAACTCATTAGTGTCGAATCTGAGAGTGTCCTAACCACTGGGTGTCAGCTGCTGCGTTCTGTGTGCGCAGGCTCCGACAACGCGACGGAGGAGGCGGAGGCCATCCAGAAGAAGCTGAGCCAGCTTTGCTGGGAGACCATGTTCGGCCAGGAACTGGTCAAACTCACCGTCATGGATCTGGTTGTTAACACAACCTCTTTCTACTCCACGATACAATAATTTATCACACGCAAAACACATCATCTTAATTACATAATAAACATTAATATTCGTATTGTTAAAGAAAACACTTTCAGTAGAAAAAATATGGAATTGAAATTTGGAGGAAACTTTACTTTCTCGGAAGCTTAGTAGCCTCAACAAAGATTTTATACTACGAATTTGTATTTTAATAATAATAATAATAATAATAATAATAATAATAACAATAATATTAAGGCCGGTCCGGATATCCGAGATTGCTAAGGCAGTAATACTGTAATGGTCTCGGACGGATGGATCGAGTGTTTGAATCAAGCCTCAGACATCGATCATTCCATATCCCATATCCCAAGGTCTAGCATCTCTCGAGGATAAAATTCGGATTCAGCTTAATGATGATGGCTCCAAAAAAGAGTCACCTGCACTTATCTCGGGATAAGTGATACTGAGCGTCGGTAAACGCAGGTGCATGCCGCGTGGTCAGGGACGGCCAATTCATGACCAAAAAATAGTTTTAAGATTATCATCTAATTTGCACTTCCCAGGAGAGTAACACTATTTTTTATATGTGTAAAGTTTATAAAAGCTCCAAAGTTTTATAAATTTTATAATTTGGTATTCTTAATTATTCAAATATAGTTTTAATATGTACTTCCCAAGTACCCAAGACAACTGTTCCTTAAATTAGAGTCTTCAAGATTGTTTCAAGCACTAGAATTTAAAAATAGGAAGGAAATTAATGTACCCTGGCACTAGTCATATAGAAACGTCTTGTAGTTAGTGTCCTTTTAATGTAAAGCTAATTTGATCATCTATTCACTCCCCTTCATAGCATTTTTGGTGGCTTTATGCCTTCCGATTTCGGTCTTCGCTAGATCTCTTGTGACAATGCTCTGCATGCGTGTGACTTGCAGATCGTGACCATCATTTCGACGCTCATCATGGACTTCTTTCGCGCCATCTTCGTGCGCGTGATGAACCACTGCTGGTGCTGGGACCTGGAGAAGCAGTTCCCGCAGTACGGCGACTTCAAGATCGCCGAGAACATCCTGCACCTGGTGAACAACCAGGGCATGGTCTGGATGGGCATGTTCTTTTCGCCCGGGCTGCCGCTGCTCAACCTCGTGAAGCTGGCGGTGCTTATGTACCTGCGCTCGTGGGCCGTGCTCACCTGCAACGTGCCCCACGAGGTCGTCTTCAGGGCTTCAAGGTCGGTGCCTTCAACGCACGAGAGCGTAAGGTCGATGGCTTTGGTGGCCGAGAGACACATTCCCGGGACGTTCGAGAGGCGTAGCCTCGGAAAATCCATTTTCCCCCGATGAAGGTTTTGGACGACAGTGTCACACGAACAAGAATCGATTGAGTTCGACAGTGGTAGCTTATGTTTTGTCATGACTGGGGTTAGGTGCTCGACTCTCATCACGACCCACGTCAAGAACGATTTGACCGTTTCGACAAACTTCTTTAAATTTAAATTTATTTATCGTCAGAAAATAGTAAAATATGATTGAGATATGTGGAATAAAGTATGAATTCTCACATGGGACTTTAAATTCGCGCGTTTGCCATACTAATAACAAGAATACCACCACAATAAGATGATCGAAACATTAGTTATTAGGGCATTGGCGTCCTGTTAGCCGAGAATCCAAACATTCCTACAGCACAATATTTCCGTCGTGTGAACGGCCGTGCAAGCACTTTTTGTCCGTTCTTTGTTGCCCATGTTCTTTACACGTCGTGCGACATAACCAAAAAGGATTTTGCATTTTCGAAAATCAGCGAATGAAAGTATGAAACTTGCGAGTAACTGGTCTGTGGGTGGCATAAGCACATCTCTTTCCCGAAATACTAGCATCCTTCTTTATCCAAAAATGTCTTTCGATATTTTAAAATATTCACATTTTATATGAGTGTCATTCAATAAGTCATAAAAACTTCACAGTACATGAAAATACAGTCGCAGGAACAGATATTCACTATAAGCGATTAAAGAAAATGTGTTTAGCAATGAGAGTACCGAAGTGCTTTCTTGTACAGGAGTCAACGAGTAGGAGAAATTGAAAGATAAATAAAAAACATTGTTTTATTAGACAGTAATACTCTGTGTCAAAGGTCAGCAGTTGATATGACTCCACCCAACCTGTAACAATACGACACGGCAACGCACTAACACTTAATTTTTCTAGATCCGTATGACACTAGCCACCATTTAGCCCCCGAAGAACAATAACTTATGAATTCGCTGTTCCGATTTATTATTATATCCACCTTGAAGACTTTAGCACACTAACTTCTGCAAATATTATTATCTAACAATTAATACATGCAGACGCGTTTTTGTGGTGGCATCTCGTAGAGTCAAACAATGTTACCAACGGATATACAAAAGTAATAATATTTCGTTTACTTCGGAAGACATTACATAGTTTTCAAGACATATGGAATGACCGTCGAGTATGGCAATATATAGTCTTTAGGGCCGGATATCAATTTTTATGAACATCAGGAAACCAGCGGTAGTCTGTTCGATTTTTGTCTTCAACTTGCGGTGCAACCATAAAGAAAGTCGGTACATCGAAACACTGGCCACTTATATAAAATATTTACCATGCAGCAATATTTATTTATCTGTTTACAATATGTCCTTCCTAAACCGAACGCTTAGTTCTCCCTAGTGCACCTTTCACCCTCACGTGTCTGAAGGGGGATCTAATGTGTTCGCAGGTCCAACAACTTCTACCTGGCGCTGCTCCTCACCATGCTGTTCCTCTGCGTGCTGCCCGTGGGCTACGCCATCGTGTGGGTAGACCCCTCCTGGCACTGCGGTCCCTTCTCCAAGTACAAGTAAGCACCGACAACCACATGAAAGAAACCAAAAATACCACCACCGAGCAAATCCATCACCCGTTCAACGTCTCATGGAGAGAGACGAGGCGTTGAAGCAAACCTAAATCACAAAGAGCTTATCGTATGTAGATCATGAAGTACACACATCTCCCAAAATCCTCAAAATTGTATTGTAGTCGAGTGGCATTAGGCTTTTTTATTGCCTTGTTGATTATATTTCAATATATTAAAAACTTTTTAACACTCAGTAGTGCGATTCAAAATTAAAAACTCATAAGAAATTGTGACAAGTAATCCCAGTTATACGATGTTTCACTAAAATGAGTTTCAGAAACTAGAGTAGCATCCACTTCATATTAATTACATTGTCTGATAATCTTAATATCTCAGTTATATTGTACAATATTAAAAATTCGTAAAACGTGTAGTTGAGTTCTGTACAATCTGTATCCCCCCTCCCCAATGACGATCGGACATTTTGTTCAACTCCTCTTGAACGAAGAATTTTTTTTTCAACCAAATCTATGGCTACAATCAGATTTCAACCATCTAATGTCTCGTATCTAGAAAATATTGGTCTGGCAACCGAGACTTGCCATGCGGCGATAAATTGCAAGAATAAAATATTAAAGTGTTCCAAGACACATTAACACTGACAATTACTACTTTGACGCCAATATGGAGATTGCGAACCGTAACGTCTCCTTTAAATCTCTACCTCCCCCCCCCCATGACGATCGGACTCGTCTTGAACATTTGAGGCGGCCCCTCGCTTTGCCTCTGGTCAGGCATGCACCCCCCTTCCCACGTCACACCCTCTTTCTTTTCTGATTGTCAAATTTAAAAAAAAAAAAAAACACGTCACCTCCTGGTCGTGCGCAGGCGCATCTACATGCTGTTCACGGAGAGCGTGCGCGCGGCGTTGCCCGAGTACCTGCACCGCGTGATGGACTACGCGGCGTCGCCGGGCATCGTCATCCCGCTTCTGGTGCTGCTAGTGCTCATCATCTACTACCTGCTGTCGCTCACCAGCGCCCTGCGCGAGGCCAACAACGACCTCAAGGCACGCGCCACGCACTACGCGGAGGCCCTCGATTCGGTTCCTTTGATCCGCCCGTTCCGCCATTTTATGTCCAGTAGGGAAAGAGTTTCAATAGTTTGTGTTGGGAAGCATCATTCTACCCAAAACTTAAATTAATGTACACGACCCCCCCCCCACACCCACAATGCCTTCAATTCTTATCGTTTCTCCTCTACTTCCGTATGCTGCCTGGTAGGTGAGAGGATATTCAATGGCGGTGGGCGTTCAGGGTACACTCTGTACCTAGGGTCTCCAGCGCTAGCCTTCCACTCCTATCCCTGTTCTCCTGTGTTGAAATGTACTTCACGGAAGCAATCTTGCATTGCTTTAAAGCGCCTCGGAAGAGCGTGTGAGGTGCTGGGATGGAATCATACAAGAACCTGCACCAGGTAGCGGCGAGTGTTAAGGCAGCGCCATACGTCTTCAGGATTGGGAGATCATGGATTCGATCCCTGACAGGTGCCGCGGATTTGCCTGACGTGTTTCACATAGGAGGGTTTGTGGCGCCTTCCGTAGTCGAATTCGAACCGACTTCTCTGATCAGGGGTTTACCCAATCGCTACCAAGCGAATACCAGAGTATCGCCCTACAAGAAGAGCCAATGACGCTCCACGCGTTAATTCCTTTCCTAATCTGTCCCATTGCCATATGGCCGAGTGATGGGCCGATATATCAACCATTCCACCGTTCAACAAAATCGTCGGAAAGTGACAGAGATTCGAAAAAGGCATTTGCGCTGTAGATTCTCAAACGGACTGTGTGGTTCATGATGGGATAACTAATAAAAATACGTAGTACGGCGTTTTTACGAATTCATAATACCTTATTCCCGAGCCGCCCTACGAGTCGATAGAGACAGCGACTTACATACAGGGAGCATTGATTCGAATTCTGCATAAGACATAGATGTTTTATCGGGTCTTCGTAGTATTGTGGTCTTCAAACAACAAAACTCACCAAGCTGCCATTCATCCGTCATCCCTTTCCCCATAACCGGCTACTACTGAGATGGACTTACGGGATATCCCGGCTCTTGACAGAAATATGGAACGGGCCGAGAATTATGGGCAATTTCCGGATGTGGGGAAGGGTCTCCAGGTTGGCAAAGATCTTACTTAGCAATATAAATGCTATAGGCCTTTTTGGCAGGCGCCTTACGTAAAAAAATGCGGTAATGACATACGAATGTCTTTGAAGCAATGCCACTTCATTGTTTGGCTATTTTGATGAAGGTTCGACCCGTATAAGAACTTACTACAGAAATATTCAGTACGTAATCAGTCTTATTATAAAGACTTGGGGATAACTCCCCTTCTTTTTGATTAGTGTTACTTTCGTTTTGTCATTCGACCCCATTCTGCGCTACCGGCCGCCTCGATTTACACCCTTCCTTTTGAAGCGGCACGCAGGGGGGAAAGCTAAGTAATGTAGAGAGAAAGATTAAATTATCTCTTTTAGTAATATCGTCTGTCCATGACATCACAGTCCTCAGCACAAGCAACCTGTTTACTTCTGCTCCTCAGATAATACATGGAAATTTAATTATTGTCGAAACCCACGATGAAATCAAAACTCTTTGATTTGCCAGGAAAGAGGGCGATTGTGATGGAGGGAGATAGGATGATTCAGGATTTCTTCATACAGTTTAATATTTATTGGGTTTCTTATATTAATAATAATAATAGTATTCCAATTAAGGAAGGTGATTGTCATTTCTTAGTTGACAGAATCGTGGAAGGTGCTGGTGCGAGATGTATGGGCGTGTAATGTTGTTCCCTTAAAGTACCACCACCAGGCTTTCAAAGGTTTAATGGTTTGTACTGCCGTGAACATATACAAATATTGGTATGACTTCAGAATGAACAAACAAGTTTTTTGTGAGAGGTATTATTGTATTAGGATATATTTATCTCATTTGGTTTGGTACTCGCTTTCCTCGACTCCGCAACTGCCTCTTGAATTTGAAGACATTACACATTGTTTAGCTGCATTGATTTTTACTTTTGGGGTCCGCCAAAACATTTGCCGCTATAAATACTAGTTATGCAAGTGTTGGCATACGTGTACTGAATTCCCTTGGTAATCTAAAGAAACATTCCTCTTAAAATCAACTTCACTACGCGTCTAGTTGTGAATATAATCCAGAGTAACGACTTAACTCAGCTGACAGCAATCTTCCGTTGCCGCTATGATAAATGGTCTCGTCAAATAGTAATTCCACTTTGGAATGTCCTAAATTAATATTTGACACTATTATTTATTTAGAAGATATTACTATTAATTATTAGAAAGAAAATTTCAGGCGGTCGCAAGTTGTAATGAACTCCTCATTCATTTTCGCATCCTGCCATCTCACGCCCTGCAGAAGGGCTGCGATAGCCGCACGTGACTTCGCGTGAGAATGGCGCTTCACCCCCCTCCCTTTCACCGCACTCGATCGCTTCCTCAAGCGCCGCCATTAGGTCTCCGCTTTATTGACCATTAGCGCGGGGAGGCAGGCGGTCCTCCGGGGGCGGGCGAAGGCGCTGTCTCGCGCTGAAAGCGAGGAACTCGGACCCAATGTTGACGGCACGTCAGCGTTGACGTAGCTAACGTGCACACAAAGACTCTTCATAAGCGTCACGTTTTGAAAGTGTATTCAAGTTCATTGGCGATATTTCGTCACTGTGAAATATTTTAATGTATTTTTTCTATCGCTATTTCTTTATTTTCAATAAGTTCTTTTTCTCTTTCTTATTTTTGCTTAATTTTGGCGTATTGTGGATAATCACTCTTTTTGTGTATTCTAAACGTATCAACCTCATTGATAACAATGATACTCAGACAACAATCATAAAGAGAAGACTGTGGTGATATTTTTTTTGTTTAAAGCTGAGAAAACAACCTAAAACAAGATTTAATAAATTGCCTCAATATATTACGGGATACATCTGGGTCCATTAACAACAAATCACAAAGAGAATACCGCTCTTAGGCACCGCCTCTTATTTTTGTAAAGTTGGTTTACAGACTAATTTTTTAGACATGTATGATTATAATGGAAAGAAATAACGAAACACGCTTCACGCTTAAAGCAAAATCGAGGATGTAGGAAACGTAGCGAACCGCAGAAAAATAACTCTTGAATTTTGTAGAACACCCGATAAAGATTAGATTGTAGAGTGTGGGCGACGGTAGTGAGATAATCAAATGGAGCGAGATTATCAAGGCTACTCAGATTCACATCAGGCGGTCACGCTTCGAAAGGTGAAATGTCGTGTTTACTTTTTAAAATACGACTTAGTTCGCGAGCAAAAAGAACTAAGCAGGCATATTTACAAAAGTATTCATGATTACATGCGATATAACGGAAAAATTTTGGGAGGGGAAATAAAAAATGTTTGGGCCGAATGTGTCATTTGAGATTTCGTAAAATGTCGCAGACTTCACTCAGCTCATGCTGCGGTACGATTTTATTCGTTATGATGATTATCCGAAAATACTTTTGCTTGAAAGTTTCATGACAACTTAAAATTAAAAGTTACAGAAAAATTTTAGAGGGTGGGAGAAATTTCCCTCATTTCCCTCTTGGATCCGCGCCTGGATCCGCGCCTAGTACAAAGTAACTATTACAATCTTATATCAAGGAGTAAATTACGAGTAAAACGTACATTCTGCTAAAAGTAATGACTACCCGCTAAAATTACTAACAGAGTCCTCGTTACAGACGCAGCTGCGGCGCGAGCGCACGGAGGAGCGGCGCAAGATGTTCCAGCTGGCGGACCGGCGGCGGCGCGCGGAGGCGGGCGGCGGCGCGGACGGGTCGGGCGCGGGCGGCACGCCCTTCGCGCGCTGGCGCAAGATCCTGCCCGTCATGCCCTCCAGCAAGCCCTCCACGCTGGGCGGCGCCTCCGCCGACGCCGGCCCCGGCCCTGCCCACGACAAGGACGCCGCCGCCCTCGGCAACGGCAGCGTGCTGGCAAAGGGCGACGCCGGCCGCAGCGGTGAGCCCACATCGCTCCCCCCCCCCCGCGAGCCCTCTTCCCAAACCCAAGACCCGAGAACTTTTTCCAAGCAAAATCATCCACCGATACTAAAAATTACCATAGCTAACCTTTCTCACAAAAACACTTAACAATACAGAAGTTTACCTGTATTAATGTGACGCTGTTCAACGGCTAAGATGGCTCAGTGATAACCATTGCCGCCGCAGT